CACGACCAATCTATGTCAGCACTTGAGACACAGAAAAAAGTAAGAAGAATGCATGCGAGAGAAAGCCAAGCTGTGTAACGTTAAAGACAAACAGACAACTGAAAGCCGCCAGGGCCTCATAAAACAACATCCAAGCACAATTACGCAAACATTTGTAAGTATCATAGTGTCAAAAAAGCGAAGGTTGGAAGATCTGCTCCGGTTCTCCATATCCTGAATCTTGTCAGTCATGTAGGCATTATCTTTAGATAGCTTTTTGTTCAAGGTTAGCAGATCTTGAATATTGTTCTCGTAGTATCCAGTATCCAGGGACATCTGAATGCTGCTCAGTTTTGTTTGAATAGGATCAACCTTTGCATCAAGATGAGCAAGCACATCAGGCAGTCATTTGTTGTATGCCGTCCCATAAAGTTTGTAGAGAAATCTGATTTTGTTGATCCACAGACATTGTGAAGACGATCAGTGTTATCCAGTCGAACCAAGAAAAGTGACTAACTACCAGACTTTGAAAAAAACAAGTCAGGTGTATATAGGCACACTGGTAGGACGGTTTATAGAGCTACATTAAGCAAGCAGACAGGCCTGTGTTGCACTCACTCACGCTGCAGCCATCTTGAGTCTGAAACAAGACGAACTGCCTTACATGGCCTTGCTTCTACATACATTATAGACTTACCGAGCTTCTTCTGCCTGCACTCCTCAGGTAGGACCCTTCTAACTGTTCCCACAGCCTACCTTGTTACTTAAGGAAACCGGGCATTTTCTGCTAGAGCCTCACAGCTGTGGAACTCCTTACCCGAGGAGCTGAGGTTAGCAAACTCAGTACCTTCTTTTAAATCACTTCTCAAATGACTCTTTTCTGATGTACATTGTATAAATTGAGAACAAAATGACGTAACAATGGTGAATGGAAACTAAAATCATCAACCCACTGAGGGCTGGATTCAAAATCACACCCAAAATCAAAGTAAAAAACTGAAATCACAGGCTGATCTAACTTGCCTGTGAGTCAGTAATGTGTATGGCCCCCGCATGTCTGTATGCACTCCTGACAACATCTGGGCATGCCTCTGATGAGTCGGCGGATGTGTCCTGGGGGTTCTCTTCCCAGACCTGGATCAGGGCATCAGTGAGCTCCTGGACAGTCTGTGGTGGTACCTGGTGGCATTGGATATACGATACAGAACATCCCAAAGGTGCTCAGTTGGATTTAGGTCAGGGGAACGAGAGGGCCTTCGTTTTTGTGGACCTGCCTACACACTCTAACCACATGAGGCTGGGCATTGTCCTGCACCAGCAGGAACCTAGGGCCCACTGCACCATCGTAGGGTCTGACAATCACTCTCAGGATCTCATCTCGATACCTAACAGCAGTCAGGGTCCCGTTGGCTATGACACAGAGGTCTGTGTGACCCTCCACGTATATGCCTCCCCAGACCATCACTGACCCACTGTCAAATCTGTCATGCTGGATGATGTTACAGGCAGCATAACGTTCACCACGCCGTCTCCAGACTCTTTCACGTCTGTTACATGTGCTCAGTATGAACCTGCTCTCATCTGAGAAGAGAACAAGGCGCCAATGGTGTACCTGCCAATTCTGGTATTCTCTGGCAAATGCCGATCAAGCTGCACGGTGCTGGGCTGTGAGCACAGGCCCCACTAGAGGACGTCAGGTCCTCATGCCACCCTCATGGAGTCTGTTTCTGACAGTTTAGTCAGAAACATGCACATCAGTAGCCTGTTGGAGGTCATTTTGTAGGGCTTTGGCAGTGCTCTTCCTGTTCCTCCCCGCACGAAGGAGCAGATACTCGGTCCTGCTGCTGGGCCGATGCCCCTCTACAGCCCTGTCCAGCTCTCCTGGTGTAACTGCCGGTCTCCTGGTATCTCCTTTATGCTCTTGAGTCTGTGATGGCCGTGTCCACAGCCGAAACGGTGGGTTTATTTTCTCCAAAAATAAATTTTACAAAGCAAATGACTTAGGATAACAAAATTTGAGTTATAGGGCCCTTAAAAGAGGTCAACCAAACATAACTCTACTGAAAAATAAGGCTAACAAAACTAGACATTACCTCATCAAACTGACCTGACAGAAAGAGACGATGGGGCAACATATATAGTGGCTGATCAGTCCAATTTAAACACAAAGGGGAGAACTAACATAGACAATAACTAAGACTAATACAAAGAAACCCCTTATCCCCCCCATGATTAACTCTTGGTGCAGTCTGTGGGATGGCCTTCCGCATAAAAACAGGCTCCGCCCTCAGCCCCATCTTTTGACCAGCTCCAACTCGGAAGTGACTTCAGGTAACTTTTGTGTGGCTGTGGGCACGTCCACCGAATCAGGTTGGGACATCTGAATCCCGTAAAATCGGCGAGGGGAGCTGCCCTGGCAGAAAATTTAGGATAAAGCAATGGTAAAATTCCATTAATTCCCAGAAAAGACCTGAGCTGCTTCCTTGTCTCAGGTAGGGGCAGGACTCAATGGCATGGATCTTATTTACTTGTGGCTTTATCACCCCATTTCCTATAACAAAACCCACTTTGAAGATGCAGGGTAGACAGTTGTGATAATAGCTACAACAACATTAATGTTAGTAATAATAATATTATAATAATAATAACAGTAATTGTGGTAGCATATGTTGTTAGTATACACTAACATATGATAGTATATGTATGTGACAATTAGGGCTGACCTTTGAATCCATTTATGGACATTCGAAGCTTCGGAGCTCAGAACAAATTTAATTTGAAGCATTCGACACATCCGAACCCTAGAATTAAGATAAAAATGGAAAAACACTAATAGTCAGTGATAAGTAGTGTTTAACTTCTGATTGAACACTAAATTAAAACCCTCTGCGCATACTGCAGCACAATCAAACAGATGCGCAACTCAGAGTATCAGAAGTGTCTCTGACACCAGACTCAGAGCGGACCGGTGGAACTGGAAAATGCATATTTTACATCAATAAAATCTATTTTATCATTATTTTGAGTCACCTTGTTGAAAGAATTTAGTCGTCTGTGTTCAAGCAGGATAATAGCAGGTCTCCATTGTGCGTCGGGCTTTCTATTTACTTGCCGGAGATTTTTTCTTTTTTAATTACATGATATATAGGCTATTATAGCCAAGTGCGGCTCATGTACTACAACCATACTATTAGGCCTACTAGTTACTACTTACGTTTTTCAAGTGATTTCCCAAATTTGTTGTTGAGTTGTGATATGCCAGTTGCTTTTGGCAAATCTGGCACTCTGCTTTCTGGGGGTTGTCGGGGCATATTTTAAAGTGCAACCACACATCTGATGACCTCTTGGACATATCTGCCAGCTCTTAGTGCGCTCGTTGTCAGTATCGGACTGGTGGGGGTTAGTGTTGCGTTTAAGGCCTCCGCCAAAAAACGGAAAAACAAGAGCCGAAGCTTCACTATCGAATCCCGTGCCATTGAACGAAGCTTCGAAGCTTCGAATTTTTTGGGTCAGCCCTAGTGACAATAATAATCATATGTGTATAATAACAGTAGAGGGTTGACTAGTAATAACAGCAGTAGTAGGACCATCAGACAGGACCACGGCAGCGGCACAACCACCACACACCATCCAGGCGTAGCTGTGATACAAGTTAACCTGGGAGACAGTAGAGTACAAAGCTGAGTTAGGGATATGTAGAAATACAACGTAAATGTTAGCAAATCAAGAAGAACCAACCTTTCAGAAACTAAGGAGAGAGAGAGAAGGAGAGAAGGTGCACGGTGTATTATAGGAGGTCCCCCAGCAGACTAGGCCTATGTCAGCCTAACTAGGGGCTGGTCCAAGGCAAGCCTGAGCCAGCCCTAACTATACGCTTTATCAAAAAGGAAAGTTACAGGCCTAAGTCTACTCTTAAGTGTGGAGAAAGTGTCTGCCTCCTGCACCAAAACAGGAAGATGATTCCACAGAAGAGGAGCCTTATAGCTGAAGGCTCTGGCTCCTGTTCTACCTTTGGAGACTTTAGGGACCACGAGTAACCCTGCATTTTCAGAGCGCAGTGTTTTGGTGGGATAATAGGGCACTATGAGCTCTCTAAGATATGACAGAGCGTGACAATTTGGAGCTTTGTAAGTTAGGAGAAGGATTTTAAATTCAATTCTCGATTTTACAGGGAGCCAGTGCAGAGAAGCTAAAAGATATAGAAGAAATAGGATCTTGTTTCTTAGTTCCTGTCACTACATGTGCCGCTGCGTTCTGGATTAGCTGGAGAGTTTTTACAGATTTAATAGAGCAACCTGATAATAGGGAATTACAGTAATCCAGCCTATAGGTAAAAAATAAAAAATAAAAGTGAGTGGACCAATTTTTTTGCATCTTTTTGGGACAGGATAGGCCTCAGTTTCACAATATTACACAGATGAAAGAACGCAGTCCATGGAGTTTGTTTTACATGGGAGTTAAAAGACCAATCTTGATCAAATATTACTGCAAGGTTTCTTACGGTAGTGTTAGAGGCCAGAGCAATGCCATCCAGAGAAACTATATCTTCGGATAGAGAGTTTCTGAGGTGTTTGGGGCCAAGAACAATGACTTCAATTTTGTCTGAATTTAACAACATTGGAGCTCATCCAGGATTTTATGTCTTTAAGGCATGTTTGAAGCATACTTAATCTGCTTCTTCTGGCTTTACCTATAGATATTAGTGTGTATCATCTGCATAACAATGGAAATGGAGTGATTTTAATGATGTTACCTGAGGGAAGCATATATTTACATATATATATATGGTTGCTGGTGTTGCTAACTTCACATTTCTCAGAAAAGAGCTGCCAATGACCAGAGTTTTCTCATTGGTCTGTGTCACTGAGTGGGGACAAGGGTTAGAACCGTGGGCTGCGGCTTTCACACTAGAAAACATATTATTATTATTATTATTATTTTTACCAGCCGTCGCCATTTTGAAAGGGTTTCGGATCTTCCGTCACCACGTGAGCAGGAAGTGAGTTAGGAGAGAAGACGGAGCAATCGAGCGGAGCGGCTGAAGCAGTCGAGCCTGAGCCATCACCCAATTCTACCCGTCTTGACTACCCGGGCTAACTTTAGCTACATGTGCTGAGGTCGAGGGGGAAACTGATCTCAACTGTAACAATGCCGACAGTTACTTTACCGCCGAAAGAGAACGCTCTCTTCAAGAGGATTTTGGTGAGTTGGTTGTTAAAGAGTTGCATAACGATAGGTTTCGTTAACACAGACAACTGACTAGTTTTAGGATTAATCGGCGGCACTCTGTGTACCAGTGTAGCTCTCCAGCTGCTAGCGTTAGCTTCAGTGTCTTAGCAAAATGGCATCATTGAATGGGCTAGCTAGCCCGGCCCTGACAAGCGCTGTCACCGCAACGCCAAAATGGTTGTTCGTGACTATGCTGTGATTTTGACAGACGTGTTGTGGTAATTAAAATGCAGAACGAATAAAAAGTAGGTTAGTGCAAGTTTAAATAGCCAGGCAAGTTAATTGCAATAGGCCTCGGCGCTTATAATACACAGCAACCATTAACTTGACGCTAGTTTCCACGATGGCCAATTAGCTAGCCACTGTAACGGTCATATATAAGTTAAGTTAACTGTTTCTCAAACTACCTCGGATAACGTTTGACATCTGTTTGCTGTTATCTGTCTGCATATCGGGTGTTTTAAACGAAATATAATTGTACGTTTGATTTTTGCTAGACGTGGGCCATGCTAACAAGCTATGCAAGTTCAGCCCACTGACTGGCCATTTGACGTTAGCCAATCAGCTAACGCTAGCTACCTAGCGTCAAATATCTTGGTATAGCCGACTTTGTGTGATTGTCAGTCTTAATCCGTCTGTTTGGGACCTCGGTCTGCAGGTATTAATGTCAGCGATATAGGTTCGAGTAGGACAAACTGGCGTGAAAACGAGAGGAAGTACGTGGTGGACCGGTGTGACTATCATTAAAGGTGTAACTGCTTCAGGCCTGCTCTGCTCTGGCAGTTTGCTATCAATCCATCCATCCATTCTTCTCGTCCATGTTTGATTCCTTGTGTCGCTCCACTGTTTATTTGCTATCTGCGCAAAGTTTTAATGTTGGTGACAGGAATGGCTGAATAGGTGTGGATGAAGTCTTAGTTACAATATGACAGTAGCTGAGTTGTTGAGGAGCTCAGTGTAGTTTGTCGCATGTTAAACAAGTCTCGCTCTTCTTCTGCCATGCTTATTGGTTGACAGTGTGTGGAGTACGTTGGCAGTGACCAGTTTAACGTCACTGACCAGTTCAGATAACCTTCATTGTTTTGAAAGGCAGGGGCTCTGCTGGGGATTGGTAGATGTTTATCAGCACATTTGGCAGAGGGCATTAATTTACTCTACCTCTGGCAGGAAAAACAGACCTGTGACCTGCACCTGATCTTGAAAAGTTAGACCCTGTATTTGCTGCACACTTCAGAGGGAGTACTGCATATTCTTGAACTGTTGTTGGGCCACACAGTTTATTGTGTCAGACTGGAATTGTGTTTTTCCTATTTCACACTAGAGTTAACCAATAAACTTTAAAACACTAAATTTTCCGTGGAACACAGTGTGGAATATGTGCTAAAATGAGTTCTTTGTTAAATCACTTAATAAATAAGAGCTGAATTTTTTTGTGTTTGTGTCAGCCAGTAATACAGGAAACATTTAACAGAAAAATATAGAAGAGCCATTCTCATTCATGCACAGCACTGCCTTTTTTTAATGATTCTACAGGTTCCACAGTCTTCTGGTTGTCTTAATTTCTGCATAAGCATCTAACATGAGTAAATAAGTACAGACTGTTTCAAACTTGACAACATCCATCTATCTGTTTTCACCCGCTTATCTGGGGTTGGGTCACAGGGGCAGCAGGCTGAGCAAAGTGCTCCAGACAAACCTGTCCCCACCAACGCTTTCCAGCTCCTCCCGGGGGATCCTGAGGCATTCCCTGGCCAAATGAGATATATAATTCCTCCAGTGTGTTCTGGGTCTACCTCAGGGCCTCCTAACAGTTGGATGTACCAGGAACTCCTCTAATGGGTGTCTGGGAGGCATCCTAATCAGATGCCTGAACCACCTCAACTGGCCCCTTTTGATGTGAAGGAACAGTGGCTCTACTCCAAACTCCCTCCAGATACCTGAGCTCCTCACCCTTGCTCTAAGGCTGAGCCCAGCCATGCCACAGAGAAAACTTATTTTGGCAGCTTATCTGCAATCTTTGTATTTCGGTCACTACCCAAAGCTTATGACCATAGGTGAGGGTTGGGACATAGATGGACCGGTAAGTTGAAAGCCTTGTCCTTCAGCTCAGCTCCCTCTTCACCGTGATGGTCTGGTGCAGGGCCCACATCACTGCAAATGCCGTGTCAAACTGCCCATCCAACTCACATTCCATTTAGAGTTGGGCGGTATTCAAATTTTGTTACTGTTAAACCTTCCCCACATTTTCCCGGGGTGTACGGTATTACCGCGACTAATTAAAAATCACTTTGAAGGGCTCAGAGGGAGTCGCCAAAATGTCGGTTTGAGCCTATACCGTTCAGAAACAGAATAGCAAACATTACATAGGCCTAAGAATACTGAAAAAATAACAACAAAACATGTACAACATTAACAACTTTTATTAACAATTACGCAAATGCAGCAGTCAACCAAACAGAATGAAATGACAACAAATTGTCTGTGGGCTACAGTCCACTTCCAGGACAGTAATCGACACAAATCAATTAAATTAATACACAGCCCTATAACACCCAATACTTAAAGGCTTATCAAATAATAAAAAAGTAACAATAAACAACAAAGGCAGTAACGATAATGTGTCCTGTACAGCGTATCCTGAGACCGCGACGGGTACTGTCCGATGGTTTATTTTTAGAACCTATCAACATAAATCAAATTAAAAGCACAGCTCTACTAGGGCTCGTCAAATAAGAAAAACAGAACGATAAATAACAAGGCATAACCGAAAATGAGCATATATAATCCTATCCTGAGAACGCAATGGGAAATAGGCTTTTGTTCATTGGTTTAAATTTTAGAGCCTACCTTTAGTTTGAAAAGTTCACCCTCTCCAAGTCCGAACGGTTTTGCCCGTCAGAACAGGATACGCCTCATTGAAAATGAAATAAAAACAAAGTATAACGATAACTATAGCAGCATCCTATGCTTCAAAACTATTCAAGGTTTTTTTGCCAGAAAATCCAGCATGTTTACTTTTTCCGGCTGGAGCAGGGCACGTAGTGGATTGACAACTTTTGCCGCGGTGCTGAACACCCTCTCTGATAGAGAGCTTGTGGCACAAACACACAGGTACTTGCAGGCAGCCCTCAACATCAGAGGAAAACGCCTGGCTCCATCACATTTCCACCTGAGAAGGAGGTCTTCATCTCCCTGAATAACAGCCCCACAACAACAGGCAGTTATCTCTGCTCCTGCTCGCTCCTGTATGGTGCCGACTGGACCTGCCACCGCATCGGCTTTTCTTAGAAGTAGACTGCCCAGAGTCATTGTTTTTGGGTGGTTCAGGTTACGCTTCTCCCTCCTCCACTCTGATGGCCACTGGACCTGCTGCTGCTGCTTGCAGAAGTTGTTAAGTTGTTTTGTTTTTGGGACCAACTCCCTTGATGCTCAGCTTGCTATCTTTTCTTCTCTTTCTCACGTCCGAGCTGTCACGTGACAACGTCACATCCAAAAACTTTATCAAATGTCATCTCCCAACAACAGTTAAGGGCAGTTATAAGAGAAACATTATAGCTTACTATTAGTTTTAAATTGTAAAGGTATTAAATTGAAAACTCAACCACTCATACATAGGTGCTGGACAAGTGCTCATTATTTAGGCATTAAAGAAATTATATTTAATATTATGTTTGGCCCCTATAGACCTATATGCGCAGCAGATTTTTTTCTTTTTTCAATGACGGTAATGAAACTGATACCGTTGCTATTTTTAGATACCGCGGGATACCTTATTATCATGTTATCGCCCAGCCCTAATTCCATCTTAATTCGTGAAAAAGACCCCGAAATACTTGAACTCCTTCACTTGGGGCAGTAACCCTCTCCCAGCCCAACTTGATAACATAAACATTCTAAGTGGGTCCCCTTGTATTTCCTGTTGGAATGTTTTGCAGTGTATGTGAAAGACACCAGAAGACAGGAAGTAAACATGGACCCAAGCTGTTGTCTAGCAATGTGATTCCAGTGAAACAGTCTACAGACCATATCACATTGTTAATTTACAACAGCTTCTGGGTAGAAAATTCTTGTGTCATGTACAAGAAATCAAATAGCCCTGAGCAAATGCTGCCTTAATTAGTTCCCAGCCTCCTAAAGAGGCCCACCAACAAAAAAGGAACCAGTATCAGTTTAAGTGTAAGCTATATTAAGAATATTTTCACTGCTTTACTTTGCCATCAGACAGTCTTTTCTGATGGGGAATTAAAACCGTTACATCAAAGCCACCAAAAACAGTAACTTAACCTAGCTGAACACTGTGTCACTGGTCTACCACTGCCTCGACCAGTTGGTGTGTAAGGAAAAGTGAAGCAAATATTCAAATACATTGTACAATTAAATTATTTTTTTAGGTGGCTAAAATGTGCTTTTCTGCAGCCCCTGTCCACAGCAATACTTTGTTTAGCATCCATGCCAGTTGATTTGGTCTATCAAAAATGATAGCCAAGCAGCAAACTAAGTGCACTAGAAAGGTCAGATAGGTTGGACCACATTGTTTAACTATAAATCTTGAAGTGTTACAGTTACAGCTAAAAATGTTAACAGAAGTAAAAATGTTTGCCAGTTTTGCATATCTTCACAATTGTAATCAACTGCCAGTTCCTGCAAGTAATTGTTGCTGTTAGCAAAATGTCACATTGATTTGGTCTATAGAAGGCACATATTGGGGTTTAATGTCACAAAAAAAAATTCAGCTAAACATCACTGTTGAACACTCTGTGTAATAAAGTGAGTTGACCTTTAGTTCTTATTACTAGTTGTGAAGAGGTCTGAAAGCACTGCATCTGGTGGAAATTGTTGTTGTGTAAATGAGAAAGCCCAGATTAAAATTACTGTCATTACCCTCTCTGCAGCGGGGTTGTGATATGAAATTTGAAACCGTTTTCTCTCCAGCTGTAGACAGAAGTGGACCACACCCCTATTAATTTTTGCTT